CCCCCCAAAATAGATAAGGGGGTTGTGTCCGCGGCGCCCCCAAATTGAGATTTTGGTAGTTTTTCCAGGTACCCCCACATTGTGATGTTGTAGTTTGCGCTGTTCCCCCACCTACTTTGTTGTAATAGACCAATGGTGCACCTATATGGTGATTGTTAGTTGTCGACGGTGCGCTAATGTTGATGGTGTAGTTATGGATGGTGGGCCAAAATCTGATTTTGTTAGTTGCTGTCATTTCCCCATATGGTGTTGGGGTAGTTGAAGTTGATAGTCCACCAAATGATGATGGTGTAGATGCAGATGTTGCGCCAACTGGAGATTTAATAGTTGTAGTTTTGTGCCAAATGGTAATGGTGTAGTTGAAGTTGATGGTGTGCCAAAAGGTGATGGTTCTGATGGTTCTGATGGTCCTGGTGATGGTATTGTTGTAGTTTTTGGTGCGCCAAATGGTGATGGTTCTGATGGTCCTGGTGATGGTCTTGTTGTGGTTTTTGGTGCGCCAAATGGTGATGGTTCTGATGGTCCTGATGGTCCTGATGGTCCTGGTGATGGTGTAGTGGTGGCTGTTGAAAAACTGGTACTTGTCGAATTACCAACTAAATTTACAGATGGAGCGCCAAATGGTGATGGTTCTGATGGTCCTGGTGATGGTGTAGTGGTGGCTTTTGGTGCGCCAAATGGTGATGGCTCTGATGGTCCTGGTGATGGTGTAGTGGTTTTTGGTGCCCTAAATGGTGATGATACTGCTGTGAATGTTCCTGAGAGTGGTGCTGTAAAAGGATTGGAAAATAAATTTGAGGATGAGGTTGTTGAAACACTGGTACTTGTCGAATTACCAACTAAATTTACAGATGGTGCGCCAAATGGTGATGGTTCTGATGGTCCTGGTGATGGTATTGTTGTAGTTTTTGGTGCGCCAAATGGTGATGGTTCTGATGGTCCTGGTGATGGTCTTGTTGTGGTTTTTGGTGCGCCAAATGGTGATGGTTCTGATGGTTCTGCTGGTCCTGATGTTCCTGATGGTCCTGGTGATGGTGTAGTGGTGGTTTTTGGTGCGCCAAATGGTGATGAAAATGCTGTGAATGTTGCCGTGAGTGGTGCTGTAAAAGGATTGGAAAATAAATTTGAGGATGAGGTTGTTGAAAAACTGGTACTTGTAGAATTACCAACTAAATTTACAGATGGTGAGCCAAATGGTGATGGTTCTGATGGTTCTGATGGTCCTGATGGTCCTGATGGTCCTGGTGATGGTGTAGTGGTGGTTTTTGGTGCGCCAAATGGTGATGGTGATGGTCCTGGTGATGGTGTAGTGGTGATTTTTGGTGCCCCAAATGGTGATGGTGATGGTGATGGTGATGGGGAGCTTGTACCGGTCAATGGTATTGAGAATAGTGTCGATCTTGGTGTAGAAGCAGCTTTTGATGGTGCATTAAATATTGATGCAGTTGCTGATGAGGATGTTGCCAAACTTGGGGAATTTGTTGGGATTTTGCATGATGAGGCAATCGAGGTTGTTGTTGGATCACCAAATGGTGATGATACAGCTGTGAATGTTCCCGAGAGTGGTTCTGTAAAAGGATTGGAAAATAAATTTGAGGATGAGGTTG